AGCACTGGCAGCAACGACAAGGGAGACTAGAGAATGGCCGTTTCTGACATATCAACTGTCATCAGCCGGTCATACCCAACCTCAAGTGGCGTCCCACCCGATGCTCCAACCCACGACATTGTGGCCAGAAGTCTAACGCTTCAACCATTGAATCAGGAACCGATCGCTTTTGAGAAAAGATATAACAAATTTCAATGCAGCAATTCGAGTGTGAATTTGTAAGGCCAAGTGAAGGTCAGGAAAGCCATCGAGTGGGAGACACTAGAAGCTGGAAAACGCACCTTGAAGAAGTCCAACATTGCATCTGTTATGTTGTACGGTGGATCCATGATTATATTATTGACGTACTGGAAGGAGAAAAAGCAGCATTTATTCAATAAAATAAACCCGCTAATGCACGGCTAACGGAAGTTTTTAAAGGGTAGCAGGAAGAAAGGGGAGAATGGCGGTGACTGCGATCTAAATGAAACGATCAACTCACTCTGCAAGCAAGCAAGGAAAGGAGACGCTCCTGAAGTGTGAGAATCGGACCGATGCGACCAGACTCAAAAGAAGCAGACTTGAAGAAAATCACAGAAAAAAACGAATTATAGCCAGAGAAAAGTCATATACAGGCGGCGAATCCATAGGGGCATGAGCATCGAAAGAGCTGGGGAGAGAAGTAAAGATAATAGGGCACTCACTGATCTGGTTGCTGAATCTGCTCGTCCCATTTTGCATCGGAGCTCAAGCTAGAGCCCTCGCAGACAGTCGCATAGCGACTTGTAATAGATGATAAAGTGAAGCCGAAAAAGATAAGAGAAACTGGAAGAGCCTTTTCTGGTTTATTAATCTGTCACCAGCCAGCCATACCCAATCCCAGGGGTGGCGAACCCGAAATTCAAACGTGCAACCTTTGGTCATTAAGTGCAACAGAGCTGATGAAGTGGAACGGGTCCGTGGTGCAATGGTATTGTTGGAAACTCAACCTCGGAAATGACAAAAGTAGAAAGTAGTACGCTGTACTGGATCAGACGCGCGTTTAAAATATTCCAACTTGATCTCTTAGGAAGAATATTCGACGCATTCGTGAGACCACATCTAGACTACAGAATGCCAGTTTTGATACCGTGGATGAAGAAAGATGTAGACCTTCGCCGACAAATGCAACGGAAAACGACTAAGATGGTCGACGGTCTTAGGGACTTACTGTACCAGGACATATTAATAAAGCTAGACGTATTTCCTTTGTTCCCTTTAAAAAGTAACCTGCTCTGGGCATTTCGGGTAATCCGGAGCCATGGCTCCTCCGTGAGACCGGGGGATTTCTTAGAGTTTTCCAACACAACTCACATGGTGACTATCCTTACAAGGTCACAAGCGAACGCACTCGACTGGAGTTCAGGAAGTTTTTCTTCAGTCAACGAGTAGTACGACCTTGGAACTCGCAACTAAGCGAGACGGTTACCACCAACGCCACTGCCGATTTTAAAAGAAGATTTGACGGCATTATATTTGACAAAACGCGACTGTCACAATATAATGTTTAAATGCAAGCCTAGTAAGCATTTTCTCGGCGCTATTTTGTGTTCATACTATTTCGCATTGCATCGCGACAGCTAAGTCAAAGGTATGCTATGTTAAATGTCCGCAACTTCCTATTGATTGTCAAAATGCGATGGTTACTTTGCATACATGGGGTCATCAAGGGCATTCCTTGCCTGTAATCCTTCAAAAATGCATATACATATCCATCAAAATAAAATACGTTGGCACACTTTAGAACGAGAAGGTGGGACTACATACAATAGCTGTGTTCGGAGTGAGTAACTTGGGCAGAAACTGATAACTTCTGAGAGTGTTTTGCAGCACAGGTTCCCCACTAATGTATTGCAAACGATATTTGTTAGAAAGGAAATAGTAAAATGGAGGCACTTCTTCCTCCAAGATAGTTAGCTAATACACAGCAGAGCACATAGGGAAATAATAAAAACGCGACCGTGTGATGTAGAAAATATCAATCGAATTACTTCTGTTGGTGGGATTTGCCATACCAGTGAGGATTTCTTAACCTTTAACTAAAACAGCGCGCTTTTATGAGTGAGATAGAGTCGCCCAGATTTCGTCAGCAGAACGTCGAGGAAAATTTAAAGCACAATGCAAACGTCAAAATGGCCGAAATAAAATAAATTACCTCGTCCGAGTAGAGACCTATGATGATGTAGGTTCCGAGATCGCGACACTTCTTTAAAAATTCGACGTGACCAACATCTTGAGACATGGGGTTAAGGAAAACAGACATAAGAAAATGGTTTATAGGTCATTGCGAGATGGGTGCGCGGTCGATGGACTGTCACTAACCCGCCAGACAGTCCAGCCGCCTTCTGTACATTCGAGTTTACAGTAGACGCCGTTGATCATGCAATATTTCGACATATGCGAAAGACAAATACTCTTTCGCTAATCGGAATTGACTCCAGTTGTGAGGCTGATTATCATGTAGTGTATTCTGAAGTCATTTCAGTCAGGATACGAAACCGGCTTTTTAAC